ATTAGAGCCCTCACATTTGTCCCTATTTTTTCATTGATGGTCTTCATAATTCTGGGCACATTTAGGTCTTTAATCCATCCTGAGTTGGTTTTTATATAAGGTGTGAGGTAAAGGTCTTGTTTCGGTCTTTTGCATCATCTCCCCACGCGATATATTTTGGCACTTTGTCAAAAATCCGTTGCCTCTATATGGGTGGGTTAATTTCTGGATTCTCAATTCTGTTTCATTGATCGATGTGTCTTTCATTGTACCAGTACCAAGCTGTTTTGACCACTGTAGCTGTGTAATAAAGTTTGAAATCAGGGAGTGAAAGTTTTCCAATCTTATTCTTCTTCTTAAGCAGTGCTTTGCTTATCCTGGGTTTCTTTCCTTTCCATATAAAATTTGTAATTGTTTTTTCCATGTCTTTGAAGACTGTTGTTGGAATCTGTATTGGGATTGCATTATATGTGTAAATTGCTTTGGGTAGTATTGACATTTTCACAATGTTAGTCTTCCTATCCAGGAACGTGGTTCATTCTTCCATTTTCATAGGTCTCTTTTGGTTTCTTGTAGTAGTGTTTTGTAGTTTTCTTTGTGTAGGTCCTTTGTTTCTCTGGTTACATTTATTCCCAGATATTTAATCCTTTGGGCGGCCACTGTAAATGGTATTTCTTTCCTAATGTCCTTTTCAAATTAAAAACCTTAACTTGAGTCCTCATTTCCTGTTACAGAATGTACTCACCTCTTAGAATTAATGACAGGAAATGAGGGATCAAATTAAGGTTTTTAATTTTAGTGACAATGACGCTTTCTCTTCTTTCTGTGGATAGATATAGAGGATAGCACCTCAACTGTTGGAAAATAAGCTGGACACTCAAGAGTTTGGTAAATGGCTATAACACATAGGTAATCGAATAGTTATAGGTTGGTCTTGGGGTTCCTTAGTGGAGACATGTCTAGCAGGAGTTGAAGTTAGTCTTTGTGTTGCAACTCCTTTCTGTTGTACTCTAGTACCACTGTGAAACATTGCCGGAATATCCTCACTCTTAGGGTGATACTGTAGAGTGTGGAGAATCAGTAAGCTAAGGAGAGGTGATTTCTTAATGAAAGAAGTTGATATACAGTACAGAAGACTATATTAAGAACTGGAATAGAGGCCCATGCCATTATATTTGGGCATTAAAAAGAAGTGTGACCTGAAGATTGCTAAATATATAATGCTTAAATCTCTAATTTATGAATGAATAAATAGATGCTCTTACATGGATAAGTCATTTATTCTAGACAGCACAACTCCAAAATACTATGATTATATTGCTAATCTGGGTGCATCAGATGTAAATTTCCATATTCTTAAATTCTATAGTACAATTTTCACCATTATGGATGTCTGCTCTGGATTAGCAGTATCCCTTTTGCTTAACAGTCCTCTAGCTACTTGTGCCCTCAGAATTCTCTAATGTTATGGTTTCCAATCTGGTAGTCAGTCACCACATATGGCTATCAAACACTTGAATTGTGATTAGTCCCAATTGACATTTGCAGTAAATGTAAAATAAAAAGAGGTTTTAAACAATGAAAATATCTCATAATTAATTTGATATAGATGACATATTGATACAATGTTTTGAATTTATTGTAATAAATGCAATGTTAGTAAAATTAATCTTGCTTGTTTCTTTTTGGGCCTACTAGAAAATTAAAAATTGCATGTGTAGTTTATACATTGTGATCTGCATTCTGTTTGTATTAGAAAACACTGCTTTAACCCATTGCTTGTTGTGTCTCTGGGAATCTTATTGATAACTTCAGAGATGGGAGTCCTACCTATCCTATCCTCTCCTCCTTCCTTGTAGTATTTCCTTAAATGAATTAATGAATTGGGCTATATATGGAGAAGGTAGACATTTGATTTCACATTTTATTTTGCATATGGACCACCCAAACCTATAAAAAACAGTATCTCCAACTCTTTCCTGTTGCTCCAAGAAAAGCAAACACCAGTAAGTATTTATTACAAAAGCCTAGTCTAGGTCAGGGGCCAAATTCATACTATAGTTATCATGCTTGGTGCCTGCTTTCTTTTGGACATCTAAACTTAAAATTTCATTCCTCCCCAGCTCTGCTTCCTCTGTGAGGCTATTGTGAGAAAGATAACATTATGTATATTGTAGATACTTAAACAGTATTTATTGAGTAACTGATGAAAGAGGACACAGTTCTATGTCTCATTTTATAGACCAAGAAGACAGAGAAGAACTTGGTATTTTAGGTGAAAGTCCTGCTTAGCAGCTTCTTCCAGCTCCAGTTGTAGTCTTGACATTTTCTATGGTGGTGATGGTGGTGGTGCTGGTGTGGAGGCAATGGCAGAATTACTGCTTTTTGTGGTATCACTCTTGGTAGAAGCAGCAGTGATGGTGGTAATGGAGTTCAAAGTGGTGGCATTTGTGATGACGATGGTACTGGTGTTGGCAGAAGGACTGATGCTTACAATTTGGGGGAGAATAGATGAAATATGATATTCTGTTGGTATCTTAACATTAGAACTCTTGAATTTTTTAAAAAGTGCTTGGGAGTCTTTATTAGATGTGTGAAGTATTTCGGATTGGATGAAGTTTTTTATAACTTGAGCTGCTTTTGGTTCAATACAACATTTTTTCTTCTTGCACATCATTATCTCTTTTTCACTCACGGCACAGTGGTTCTTGCATTTTCCAAAGCCCTTTAAACACTTTTTCAAGGCAAAGAGTTCTACACAAAGAAAAGAGAGAAACATTTGGTAAAGGTTAATAACCAGAGGTAATGTTAAAACTGCCAGAGGGAGAGAGCTAGAGTAAGAGGAAGTTTGTAATACTATTTTTTTTTTTAAAAAATGTTTTATTGTGAATTATATGATAGTTTACATGGGAGAACTTTAGTTTGTAATACTGTTTTAAGTTAAGTGTTTAGGGATGTTCCTGGATACCTGGGCAGGCAAAGAGAGTCTTTGTACCCCTCCAAAATCCAAAATAAATTTCTCTTTTAGTTTACCTTTCCTGAGTAACTTAAAAAATCTAGTGCACATAGATGAAAGAAGGATAGACTTTTACCCTCCTCCCCCCAATTTAGCATCTTACTCACTTGTAGGGCATAACCATCCCATTCCCATGATCATGAAAACACCAACAAGAGTAAAATCGGTCAGAAAATTAATATAGTCAAGAATTTAAAAAGAGATAGAGCAGCTGAGGAGTCTAGACTCATGGAATGAGAAAACCTGTGTGCTGGTGGCCAGGAGGCAGGCTTGCAGAATATACCCTTTAGTTGTTTAAATAATTATATATTCCTGCATGTTTTTGTGTACATCCAAAAAAGAAAAGCAAAAAATAGAGGGACTAGAAGCAAATGCTGTTGAATGATGATGCATGGAGGAGATTGTAATCATTGCAATGAAATGAGTGTAAAACCGAAGTTCTCCCATGTAAATTAAAAAAATAACTATCACTCAATTCACAATAAAAAAAAAAATTTAAAAAGAGAATCGTCAGGACTTTTAGGAATGCAGTCTTTTGTTAACCCCAGTGGTTCTTGTCCTCTCCCTCTTTGACATGTGGCTTCTAGGACATGGTGTTCTCTTATCTTCAGCCTGTCTGGTACACTTTGTCTCTTAGAGATTGTGCTCATTATTATATACTTAACTTCATCTTTATTATGATAACTGCCATATTGCTATTTCTAGCTCTAAATCCCCTCTTCAGCAGAGAAATCCCCCTTCATTGTCATCTGCTAAGCATGTATTTTTCATCCCAAAGTCTTACCTTCTTTTCTGAATCAAGAAAGCTCTTCTCCCATCCATCTTAATTCAACTGAATGTCCATAATAACAGCAGATTTACGTAGCTCCTTATCATTTTCAAAGCATGTTCATGTACAATTCCACAAAATAGAAAAATTCTAAGGGGCAAGTCCCAACATTTCTCCCTTCTTTCCCAAAAACCAGTGGCCCATTGTCTAGTTTGACTTTTTGCCATAATGTATTCATAACTGCCATTATGTTATTTCTGGGGTTTTCGGGAAGACAGAGGCTAAGAGAAGTGGGTGAAACTGTAAACTTTGGAAAAGTTGAAAAGAGAACATAGATCTGTTAATTGGATTTTAGGAGGATAGCTTCTTGAATATAAAGGTTCGGACTTCTTCCTTCTTACATTAAGGTGCAAACTGATAGGAAGCCTTTGTTTAAGAGCGGTTTTAGACTAGAAATAGAATTAAAATGATGTAGACTTGAGCTGAGTCACAGGATGATAGGTATGTACAGGAAGACAATATGTTGCATAGTCTCTGAGTTCACTAGAAGGCATCCTTTTTCTCTGTAGTCCCTGGGTGCCTCCATCAGACACAGTCTAAGGCTAGGAGCTTATGGGGGGTCATGAGGGTACTGTTATACTCATGCAATCAGCAAGATATTCAGTCATCTCTTTGGGTGCTTGCTCCCAAATCCCCAATTGCTTCCACTGACCTCTCTTAAACCTAGGGGTCTACATTACCTGTGTTCACCTGGGTCTGTAGCATGAGGCTTGCAAAGATGGGAAAAAGGAGCTTCATGGCTGGGTGCCAAGGAGAAAGTGTTAGATCTGGGTTGGTGTTCCTGAGCTCCAACCTTTATTGGTCTTCTTGTGCCTTAGGCCATAGGCAGTGAAGCATAATAGGTTTGTGTGCTGCTCCAAGCAGTTGCGAATTCCTTGATTCTGTTTGATAATAGCTTTTCCTGAACACTTTAATGCAACAAAACTCTCGGCTCCTGATCTTGGGGAAGAACATAAAATATACGAGGGTAAGTAAAGTATTGCTATTAGTGTTTCAGTTCATACATATACAGGTTTATTCCAAACAAAATGTGTTTAAATATGTCTCTGTGAGAAGTTGCAGACAAGTTCTCCCAGTAATACACTTGTCTTAGTCTTGTTAGGGTGTCTTTAAAAAAAAGGATACTCTTTGTATTATTTAATTAATTGATTTTGAGGTCAGGGCTAATTGCAAATTTTTAACAAGACTCAAGTGAGTATCTTCCCAAATCATTGAAGCTTTGCAACAAATTCACAGGAATGCTGCCCCCCAACAAAACATCAATTTTTAGATGGATCAAACATTTCAAGCAGCGAGGTCAGTCCAGAGGCTATGACAACTGTTTTTTGAGATTCCAAAGGGATAATCTTGAGAGATTTTCTTGATGGACACAGGACATTAGGAAGAAGTTTGAAGAACATTGAAAATGCATTGGTGACAAAAAAGTCAGGAAATTTACAACAAGTAATTTTTTTCCCATGAAGACAACATATGTGCTCATAATCTTCAAAGGTAGGAAAGACTGCCCTGTGAGAGTTTTCTTGGGATGCTTTGCCCCATCTACCCTATAGCACTGATCTTTCCCCTTCAGACTTCATTTTGATCCCTAAACTCAAAGAACATTTAAAAGGAACATGATTTGAGTCTGTTGAAAATGCCAAAATTGTAGTTTTGATGTGGCATAAATCAAAGAGTAAAGAATTCTTCAGTTAGAAAGATGGTAACACTGCCTTTAGAAGTGTATAAACCTAAATAGAGGATATGTAAAGAAACAATAGCTTTACATTTAGATTTTTTTGTTGTTGTTGTTTAATGAGTGTTTCTATGATTTTATAGCAATATTTTTGTATTTTGTATAGGACAAGAAAGAAAGAATAAACCCTTTGTTCATCTCCTTCTTAATTCTGGAGCAGGGTAGGGATGATGTGCGTCACTGTTTGTCAGCTCACTTATGCCTAACATGGGCCTCAAGGCATGAGACTCATAAGAGCAGCAACAGCTATGACATTGAACTCCTGGAGGAAGCAACTCTGTTTTGTTTATACTGATTTTTCTAGTAGCCAGTATGAATACAGGGTCAACAGAGAAACATAGCACTTTTTTTTTTTTTTAATGCTTCTGTGGGAAGAAGCTCTTTGCATAATTCTAACTCAGAAGAGTTTCCAATGATTCCCAATTCCTCTAGAAGTGACAATTTTGTTGTGTGCTGCCCTGATTCCTTGGCCATAGCTGATTAGTCCAGGGGTGGACAATAGAACAAAGTCTACCGATTAGATGGTTTATCCTGCTATAGAAACAGAGGAGTAGCACTGGATCCATTACTGATTTAGTTCCAAAGGACTTTGCTGGCTTTTCACTTTCTTGAGGTTGAAGTCTATCTAGGGTTCTACTGTTGTTAAATGCCATCAAGTTGTTTCTGATTCATAGCAACCCTGTATAGGGTTTCCAAGGAGTGGCTGGTAGGTTTGAATTGCCAACCTTGCAGTTATTAGTCCAGTGCTTATCCTCCAGCACCACACTGGCACTCCAGGATTTCATTGTTGTTGTTAGGTGCAGCTACCATAATATGATCCCAAACATTTCCTGTTTTCTTTAAGCTGCCCTATGTAAATTTTAATGATGAAAGTGTTTCTCTTATGAAGACCTGACTTACAATATTTCATTTCTATGAATAAAACAAAATAATCAAGCTAAGGCACGTATACTTACTTTGGTATCAATAGAGAGAATTAGCAGCTCTGTGGGATAAATTAATCCTGTTATATTTTCATTGGAGTCCTGGTGCGGCACTGTGGGTTAATGCGCTGGACTGTAAACTCAGTTTGAACCGCAAAGTTGGCGTCTCAAGCTCACCATCTGCTCCTAGGAAACCCTAAAAGGGTCACTATGGCACCTAAAAACAACAACATTACATTTTCATTGATCTCTGATATCTTAAAACCTACTGCTATCAAGTTGATTCTGACTCACAGTGACTCTGTATAGGGTTTCCGAGGCAGTAAATCTTTAGGGGGGCAGAAAGCCTGTCTTTCTCCTGTGAAGCAGTTGGTGGGTTTGAACTGCTGACCTTGAACTCCTAAAGTACCACCAGGACTACTGGTGCCTTAAGATGTGTTACAATAACATTATTAACCCCATTATTTCTTGCTAGTCCAAAAGCAGTAAAAGCATTGATAATTCCAATATGAATCGAAGTGCAGAGGTTCTGATGTGGCGCTGTAGGAGAAGCTCAGTCGGCAGTTCAAATCCAGCAGCTACTCCTCGGAAACTCTATACAGGGTCACTATGAGTCAGAACCAAGTTGATGGCACTTAACAACAAAAGTTATTATGAACTCAAAGTTTGAGTTAATAAAAGATGGCAAGTTATAAAAAAAATAAGTATGAGTATGTTACATGTAAACATGGGATGAATTCATCAACAGTAAAGTATAAGCCTGGAAAAATATGAATCATGCATGCCCTACATTGTGCTAATATGTATCAATTAGAATTGAGTCGCAGGAAACAGAAAACATTAGTTACCTTTCTTGTTAAGTGTCACTGAGTTGGTTCTGACTCAAAGCGACCCTGTATAGGGTTTCTGAGGCTTTTAAATCTTTGTGGAAGTAGAAAGCCTTGTCTTTTTCCTGTGGAGCGACCCCGTGGGCTTGAACCGCTGACCTTATACTTTGAAACCCAATACTTATTGTATGGAGCCACTGTGCTGCCCACTAGTTATCTTAAGAGGAAATAAATTTAACACGCAGAATTGTGTTAAGTGCTGTAGAGTTGATTCAGACTCATAGCGATGCTGTCTAGGATTTTTGAGGAGTGGCTCGTGAGTTTGAACCACTGACCTTGTGGTGCAAATCAACCTTGCAGTCCAGTGTTCATCCCTGCATAGCGCTATATCAGGACTCTAACACCTAGAATTGGTGGTGGTTATGTGCCGTGTGGTTCCGACTCATAGCGACCCTGTACAGGGTTTCCGAGGCTGTAAATCTTTACGGGAGCAGAAAGTCTCATCTTTCTCCCGCGGAACAGTTGGTAGTTTCGAACTGCTGACCTTGCGGTTCGCAGCCCGATTCTTAATCCACTACGCTACCAGAACACCTAGAATTAGGAGCTTACAAAATCACCAGAAACCGACTCTAGAACAATGGCAGGAAACTGGTACAGCACAGAAGCTGCCGCTTCTGCCATAATCAGGAAGGTCTAGTCAGGAACCCATGACTGATTTGTTGTCTTCAAGAACACATCAAGGTCAGCATAATCCAAATCACAGGATAATTATCTGCTGCCACCTCAACTAAGCACCCTGGTGGCTCAGTGGGTTAAACACTGGGCTGCTAATTTAAAGGTCAGTGGTTTGAACCCATCAGTGGCTCCACTAGAGAACAAAGAGGCGGTCTGCTTCCATAAAGATTTACAGCCTATGGATCAGTTCTACTTTTTCTATAGGGTTGCTATGAGTGGAAATGGACTTGAGGGCAGCGTTTCTTCCCCTTTCCACACACACATCTTAACTGTCTACTGAAACCTATAGATAGTGATCAAACATTAGAATGTTGTTGCAAAAAGACCCAACTCCCATATTTGCCATAGCCGAAACATCAATCAGGAAGATAACTTCTGCTGTATTTCTGCTTTTCGTTATGTTGCTGTTGTTGTTATGTGCCTTACTGTCGGTTCCAACCGATAGTGAACCTGTCCAGGGTTTCTGAGGAGCAGCTGGTGGGTTTGAACCACTGACCTTGTGGTTCAAACTGACCTCACAGTCCAGCACATTATGTTTTTGTTACAGGCTTCATTTAATTGATACAACTTAATTCATATCTAGCTTGTGAACTATACTCGTGTCAGGAAACGGAGCTTTAGTTTTCAATTCTCTATGTTATAGAGAGGAACTCTGAGGATTTTGGAATGGATTCAGATGTCCATTACAGTTCATCCTCTTTAACACTCAAAATTCGTATACACATTCCATTCATGTTTAAAATTCCAAGCAGTAAGAATAGCAGTATATTCTAACATAGTATAAAGTCCCTTGAGTGTATTAAGATATGGTTGCTCTCACTACGAAGGGGGATCTCAAAAGTCTTATCAGTCTTCCTATTCATCTCTGAGTGTTGTTTAACCCTCTTAGCTACGTCACAATGTTGATATCATGAAGTTTACAGAACATCCTAAAATTTTTACCATTCACTTTATATCAAATAGTAGAGAAAAGAAGTATGTAAAAAAATTGAAATCTATGTGTGTGTATACTTTATTTATAGGGTTTCTAGCAGTTGGAATCCACTTGATGGCAACAGTTCATACTTTATTTGTAATTGTTATATTTTAACCTTTTATTGAAGTATAATTAATATAAAAATTGATAAATCATAATTGCCCAGATTAATGAATTAACATAAAGTAAATGTACTTCTATTATTGTAATTCAAGAAGAAAACCTGTGGAAGTTCACCTTTAACTTCCTCCCTCCACTCCAGAGATTATTCTTATCCTGATTTCTAATATCCTTAATGGAATTAATGGATTAAATAGATTCCTACTACATTATTATTATTTAAAATAGTTGTTTGGGGATATAATTTATACAACAAAAGTTTGAGAATTCTAAGTTACATAATTAGATGATTTCAGTAAATAATCTATTTCAAAACCTATTCGTAACTCCCCAAAGAGTCCTCATGTCTGTTTACAGTTAATCCTGCCTCCCCTCCCCAGTTCGAGGCAATCACTGATCTTTCTACTTCTTTAGCCCAGATATTC